GGAGTACGATTTGGTCGTTTCTCACTGTCACGACGTGTGAACGGGGTCTTAAGCCTATACACTTATGAGCCACTGTGGTCCCACCGACAAGTATGTGCACACTCTATCCATGAATATTCATTATTTTTCCATACGCCTTCCCCCTCTTTGTAAACACATGAACTTGTCCCACGCACACGCGCGCGTTTCGCGTGCGTTGCTCCCAATTTGTCACACACCGTGGCATTATCCCATTTTGTTTAATAAAGTAATATTATACAGGCCGACAGGTGATTCACTTCTTTTCTTTCCTTTCTTCCTTTTTCATATACAATTCTTAGATTTTTTTTTTTTATTTACTTATTCTTTCATCGCACTCGAGGTGCCACGGTGCAATTATGCAACTCTTGGTGGTATAATTGCGATTCGCTAAGAGGACCCAAGAGCATGTGGGGTACCCACCTTGCTGGGTGGGTAACAAGACGTTTCTATACGCATAATGAGACTTGCCTTTATTACTTAGTTCCTGTATATATATTCATATGAATTAAATATATCATGATAATTTATATATAATTTCGAATGTTAATTTTGTACTCATTAATTGCTTATGGACTCAATTGTATGAAATGGATTCTGTCAATAAATACTTCCAACGATTACAGAATAGACGATTAATGTTATTATCATAGATAATAGCCATTTAAATTCAATTGTGAAAAATAGTTTTATATTTTTTTTTTTCTATTATAAATTGTAATTAATTATTCTCCAACAAAGCTATATACTAAGTAATTGCGTATAACTGTATGGGTATGTGTATGCAATACTGGAGGTTATTCACAGAACATTCTTCCCCTCTTTCGTCTTTTAATCTTATCAGCTTGATGTCTACTCTCAGAGATGCTCCCTTATCGTCCACTGTCGTACAGTACATGTACCGGTTCGTTTTACTCTTCCGCAATGCACCCTCTGACCGACCATTTTAACGAATAATTTCAATTAAAATCCTTGTATTAAATCCTCCAATCTTACTTTGAAAGAATTGTTGATACTAAGAACAGAAATATTGAAATTGAATATATTTTTCAATTTATTGATGTTATTTAAAATATAATTTAAATAAATACATTATTTTTGTGTATCATCATTTTTAACTTCAAAGCTAAGATTTCATTCCAGACTTTAATGATGACCAATTAAAAATATTTTATCTCATTTAATAAACATTGCTTTTTAAGGATACCAAAACGATGCTCTCAGAAGTCTTATCGTTAACATTCTCATTAAAGAAATCAAAAAAGAAACATTTTAAATTTACTGGGCTAATTATGATGGGCAGTACAAACTTTTCAAAGTAATCATGTTAAAAAAATAATTAAGACATTTTTATGTGTATTTAATTTTTTTGTTTCTTATTCAATATAAGTAAAATAAAATTAAAAGCAATATTTTTTTCAATCCAAGACAGAAATAATTTAAATTTTTCATTGAAATGACGATTAATTATATCAATGAATAATGAATAAAGATAGAAATAGATTTAGAGGAAGTAACTGATGAATTTTCACTTTAGGAAAGTTGAAGAGAGATCAAAGAGAATTTACACGCGACTGCTGCGTCACTGTACGATATCGTCACCTCGGAGATACGGGCAACACGACTTTGGCTTTCCGCAAGACACAAGGTCTGCCAGGAGTCTCGAGGTGCGTGTCCCAGTCGACACGGCTTGCCCATTAGGAGGACCCTGAGCTTCATCAGATTAGATTTTGCTTCGTTTTCGTCCAGAATATAACTCCTCTCAGACAATGCTTCTAAAAGCCACCGACGAAACCAGAGATTTCCCAGGTAGATCAATGACCTTAAGGAATTTTTTATTTAGCTTGTTTCTTTTTCGATAAGTTTTATTTAGCGATTAAAAACATTGATACGAGATGAATTTTTTTCAGTGACATTTACTGGACAGCAAGTGGAACAGGATTACAAGTGAGCGGTGCCATTTGTCGCCATCGTCGTGGAATTCACAGACTCGTTAGTCCGAATAAATACAGTCAACTTCTGCGGTTTTTGCCGCTATCTCGTTGTGGACTGTGGCACGCGATGCGTCTCGGTGACACTTGGGCTTTATATAAGTACATACAAGGTGCGAACTATGGTACTTGCAACATGTTCTTTGGATCATTTCCTTCTTCAGCCAATCTCTTATGTGTTCACTAACGATCTCACATATTGAAGAAAAAAAAACCCAGTCAAAGAGCAACAAGCGCAACAACACATCTGGGATGTCTCGCACACCATTTTTTCGTCTTTTAAACTGATGTTTATCAAACTCGCGACAATAATCGTTGACTTCTTTTTAAGCCAATTACACGCGCACGCGACTCGGATTTATTTCGCACGAATCCTCGATGTTCTTGCAAAGAAAAGACGATATCGATATACTTTATCGCGGAAGCAAAACACCTCTCACTTTTATTTCCAATTCAGTGTTAGTTCATGGGTGTTTTGCGCGGGTAATTGGAGTAATCGTGGAAATCAGATAATCGAGTAACGAGCTCCATGAAAGATGTTGGGTTTCGACCCAAGCATGAGAGTCATTCCGTGTCGCAGAGTCATTACCGTATAACCAGTTATCACCAGGGCGTTAACGTTATCGCAAAGCAACACCTCGTAGCGTCGTCACGGCGATGTTGCAAATACGTGAAGAGAGAGAAAAATATAACGCAAGAGTAATATCTACGAGCTTGATTCCTCTGCACAAAGAAAAATTCAATAGCAATCAAAGAGAAAAGTATTTCTGAGAGATGCACTTTGTTAAATTCTATTTCGGGATTCAGAGGAGTAACGGGGTAAAATCAGTAGTCTCTTCTGACGGCTCGACTGCCTACATCGTTCCTGGGATATCCAAGCTATCCACTGTGTGCACTCCGTCTAGCTCCGAGGTATTTGATATTGACTTCTCGAGGCGCTGCTTTGAACTCCAGTAGGATACACTAGAACGCTCGAGCCATCGAATATTCCCCTTTCCACTACTCTCCCTTCTGTGTTTAATTAAAAAGCTCGATACACCCTTATGCCATACAATATATACATGTCGATAGTCAATTTCTCTATGTCCTCTATCTTCACCACCAGTTTTTACGGATAAAGTAAAATTAAGTTGACTTTCTGACTTTTTAACGACTTGTTTTTCACTACCAACTACTACACTTTCTCTTCGAGATACAAATAAAATCAAAAGTTGAATCTATTCAATTTCATTGAAATTCATTCCCAATGAAGGTAATTATAATGAATAAAAATACTTTTAAAAACAAAATAATTAATTTATTGTTATGATTTTTATTAAACTTGATGAATTACAGGTGCTTGCTGATAAAATTCAAAATAAACACACGTGTGAGTGTTATTGTCAAAACATTTCCACGGAAGCCAGGTCGTAATATCTTTCATCAGTTCATCTCTAGAGTTTTGTGCTAAGCGACAAAGCAGGAACCCGCCCTCACAGAAACGTGTGAGATGATACGATAACCAAAACTGTCCACTCTAGTCTCTCCATGTTCTAAAAAAATTTAGGTGATTGTTATATGGTAACAAGCTTTGCATTTTGGTCGCTTTTAGTATTTCTTTGAATACCTTGATGTTGATAATCTGCTCAAACAGTAGAAAAGTACAAGGCAGAGGCTGCGACAGGTTTAAACGAGATTATCAAACGATTAAAAGAATTCTCCTTGTGCGTCCAATCGTGTAGTAAGAGAAGAGTAAACGCGACGAAGAAAGCCGCGGGGTAAAATGCGAGGGCGGATGAATTAAATTGAGTGAGAGAGAATCTTGATACAGGTGAAGAGTACAAGAGAGATGTAAGCCAGAAGATGAGCTGAGGAAAAGAGACTTGTGGGGATTAAATGAAGAAAGTCTGCTTTGTGGGGCAATCGAAAGAGCTCTCAAAGAACCATCACGGATACATTTTTAATTGCTTCAAATATCTGTTCCCTTTACTTTAACTACGAGACGGTCTTAATTAAATGTCATATTGTGCCTGGAGGATTACCTCTATGATCAGCTCTCTCCTAAACATAGCGTCAAATGAAGTAGGTAATTTTTCACAGTAGATTTTGTGAAGCAGGTGATTAAATACGTACACTAGTGCAGGTGAATGTTCATGCTTGCACTTGTACACATAGTTTATCGCAAATCGAGACGCAAGAGATCCAGAGTGAAATGCCCATTAGCGTCCAAGGTGGATTTATATCTCGATAACATGAGGATACAATCGTAAACTTTGATATCTTTCGTAATACTAGCATATACATGTTCATGACTGCAGCAATTTCTGTATATTTCTACCGGAAGTTACTGGAAACATATTAAGGGCTTGAATAAGAATCGACAACAGTATAAAATAAATAAAATAACAATAACGATTCGAAAGCAGTGTAAGGTCGTTGAAAAAAAACTATTCAAAGGATATTTTTTAACCAGCCGTGGGATTCTCAATGCTGAAAGCAGAGCAATGTTGGGATGTTGGTAAAAGAAAATGTATTGGGATATTCGGGCCAATCATGGACTAGCAAAGAGACCGAATTTGAATATAACAGCACAGTCATACATGTTGTGTCGTGAGCATAAAGAGGCGACGGATACATATCTATTCGAGGTAGAAGTACCCTTCTCCAATGGAGGACACGTTCGAATTGCAAACATACTAATTTTTCACGTCTACTGAGCACGACGCGTGAATTGAAATACTTATCTCTGTATTCTAAGCCTTCGGGTGGTCTTATTCCATCACATAACCATTTTCTCAATGTGGTTTTGAAAAAAATTATCTTCCTATTCAGAAGAGAAACAATTTTGTTTAGTTTCTGAGACATTCAAGTAAATAATAGTAATCAAATCACTCATATATTTATGACAAAATTTATCATTTATGTATCTATCATGGAATTAATTACATTCATTATCAGAAGTTAAAGAAGCAAAATATATCAAGAATTGTCGTTAATTTTTACTTCCATCCATTTATATGTCTTAGTGATACAGTTTGTTTTTAAATATCAGTACAAAATTTAACAACTATAGATAGTAAAAGATTAGAAAAAATTCATTTTAAACCAAACATTTTTCAAATACGTTTTTTTCTATCTGCACTTAATACACATTTGTCTCTTATCGGTGTTTATGCAAAGTATTACACTGCTGCCGCCACGAGCAAGTGTATATAAATCCTACTCATATAGCAGCACATCAACAGTCGTTCGTTGTACAGTCTTCATCATGTTACGATTATTTTTCACCTTAATTACTTTATGTGGTGTTTCTATTGCTATTCGTCCTAATGTAACACAAAGCTCAGCCGGTTGTCCAGTTTTCTCTGGAGGAGAATGGGACGAATACTACACATCTCCATTGTATATAAATTCACGACCAGATGGTAGAAGAGTCATTGGTAGCATAATGCAAATTCAATTGGGACCGAACGAAGTGGTTAACGCCGCTAGACATCATATAATTCCAGTTGCTTTGCTACAACAGTTTTGGAACACAATGTTACTAAGATCAAAAACTAACAATGATTTTCGTACTTTTTTACGTGCAATTTTATAGTTGTGTCAAGATTATCCACCACCGAGAATGGATCCTAACCTTATGGATTCCTTCGAGTCTTTTATTTCTAGATATATATGGATGCCAGGAAATATTTTTATAGGCCCATCAAGTCGCCATGATGATCCATCAAATGATTTTGAATCAGATGCTGTAGAGATTGTTGATCCAAACAATTTCAGAAGATTACGTGAGTTGAACTCCCTTATGGTGGGCTACATTCATAATCAGAATGTATTGAGTGATAATAGTTGTGTTGGGCCAGTCAGCATGGATCGTATTGTTGAATTAATACGAAATATACGCCACGTTCATACACTGTATAATGGTGGACATTGGAGAATTCAACCAGGCCTATCACCAATGATTCAATGGGAAAATGATCCTAATGTTGTCTTGCAAGTTGCACAACAATAACAACAACTAAGGCTACGACGAAACTCACTTTATAGTGATAATCAGTCATGTCAACGACCATTGGTACAAACATTATCTTACCTGCCTGATCGGTATTGTATTCTAGCACCTTTTACGATTGGAAACAAAATTATTACTGCATTATTGTAATAGAGATTTGTAACATTAAACATCTCTTATCAATCCATAATAAAGTCGGTTGGAATTCATGCTGGCATTATTAATCTCAATGACAATTTTGGAGAAAGATTTGCCAATAAATGATATGTCACTACATCCAAATATAAAAATTGTATTTAATTTTTTCTCCAGATTTATGTTTTGAATTATAAGTATATTATTTAAATGTAAACTTACCTCATAAAATATTAAACTGATTATGTTAACAATTTTGTAATCTCCTTGATTTTCTGTATTTTTCTTAGTTTGTTTGCTTTGCAAAATTTAAGAATGTTATCATCGTCAAACAGTAAAAACTTTTTACTTGCAGAAACTGTAGCGAATCTAAAACAACACATAAATAAGAACGAATGAATGAAAAATAATTAAGTATTAGAAATGATGAAATAAAAATATTAATTCAATAAAATAATATGCATTAAATAATCATAAAGAACTGATAAAATACAAAATATAATATTATTCAGAATCATGTGCTATAAAAATGACATTACCTTTGATACTTTTGTCCAAAAAAATCGAAAATATATTCGTTTCAATTTTCATAATACAATTTTTACTCAACACCTTTCACTATTTTAAGAATAAGTTTGGTTATTATTTTATTTTAATAAAAAACTTGGATTTCCACTATGGTTATATTAAAATTAGCAACAAACTAATCTGATGCATATCGAAATATGTACTTTTTAACTTCCTATTTAGCACCTTCACAAATTTTCAATGAATGAATATGTTTGTATTTTTTTATAACCTCATTAAAAAACTCATAAGTTTTTATGATATCTGATTACAATTAAGTACTCATTATACAATTAGGAAACAAATCGATATCTTCATTTGTCTCTGAAATATGCGAGATGAAAAGATATTTATGAATAAAATTAACGTATACACACTATACATTCGAGAAAATTCAAGTGTTTAGTAATAAATCGTTTGAAGTGTTTACAATGTTGAATACCTGAATGTACAGTGCATACACCTCAATATCTTTTTAAAAATATTAAATTTGAACTGTATAAACCATTAAAGGTGGAGATACGTTGAAATTGAAATTGGAAAAATCAGTTTAAATATAACTTCTAAATGGTAAGTTAATAAATGTTTTACACAATAACATCAAGTGACATTTACCTGAAGAGTGTTGAATATCATTATAACCTCGTATACGATGCCATTGTGTAAATACACTATAAATATATATTAGATGGCATAGTTTAATTCTTATTGAATAATCGAAGGATTGTTCACTTGAAAGTTATTTCAATGTATAAAAAAAAACGACAGTGACATGAGAAAGATTAAGATCATGTCAGATACGTTTAGATTGTCATTTCAAGGGCTAAGATGTCATCATAAGTCAGTTGTAATCACGCTATTGGGTAGGTTATTCGTAAAAGACACGATCATTCTTTGTCAAGAGACGTGTCAAGACTATATGCACAGTCACACTAAGTTTTTTTAAGATTCATAACGTCATTTGATCGATGTGCCAACATGATACAAGAGACAAGGGACTTAGATTAAAACAATCCGTTATATTATGGAGACAAATTTTTTCAATATATAAGAATATCAAGATGAAACTAACGTGATATTACTATGGATATGCAAGTGGAAAACAGAGCAAATTACTTTTCGCATTCCAAGCACGGTGGGAGAGAAAGGTTAGGTTGGACGTAGAATCTCAAATTTTAATCAAACTTTGCCAGGTATGCGTTTGCGGGCTCTTTTCTTAATTCTCAATTCTTTTCCCTTTTTAACTTTCAACTTTTACCTTTGGAAGCATTTAAACGTGGTCAAGATGTTTTGCATATTTGTCATGTGGCTGGTAAACTATTTTATACCTCTCTTAATTTTATTTTACTTTGTGGTTTCTTTGATCTACATTTTTCTAACTAAATTATAAAGAATTACATACTTTTATAATTACATTTAAAATAACATACTTTTAGTAAATATTTAGATATTTCGAATGACATTTCATTGAAAGAATAAATATTTTTCCAGTATATTTAATAACAGTTTTAAATCATGTAGGCTCTTTTTGAAAGTTAAAAAGGATTTTTGGATATTAGAATAAATTATTTAATCAAGAGGTCTTACAGCTAACGTTTTTTTTATTCCATAGGTAAAAGAAAAAATATTTGCTCCATTACAAGTCGAAAGAGTAGCAAAGCAGTAAGCAACAAGCAAACATCAACAACATCTAGATGGGGTAGTGTTGGTGGTGGTCCGGAGAGTTGGATGGAGGGTGGCTCGAGGCAGTAATAAGAACGACGGCATAGTTTTAACTTCTCTTTTATGTTGGCATTTTCCACAGCGTTGCTTTGTGCGAACGAAAGCACAAATTGCTGGGCTGCGCCTTCAGGGAGACATTGAGACACAGAAGAAGAATAAGAAGACGAAGTAAAAGAAGAAGACTCGTAACACAACTTTTGCTTCCTCCACCTACTTTTAAGTCATGTTTGCTTCTGTTTTGCATGGCAGTAAAGGGAGAAAACAACTACCCTATTTCAACTGCCACGTTTACTTGACTTTATACTCTCAACCCCTTCTAGAAAATCCGTCTTTAACGTTGAGTAAAAACTTAACACTGTAGATTGATTTAAATTAAATAAATGATATACTGAACAGACAATAAGGTTCAAGCAGGAAGAAGAGCATGAATTTCAACTGTATCATCAGGTGACATAACAAAAAAATGATAATTAAATGAAGAAGAGACATACGTAATGATTTCCTGCAGGTGTATTTCCTACAACAACACCCTCTTTTCCCTGCTGCTATTGTCGCGTGGATGCACTACAGGTACGCCACTACGAGAGATGCGTTATCGAATGTTTTATTCATGAGAGTTAAACAAAGACCGCGTTTATCCTGAGGACATCTCTCGGTTGAACGCGCGCGACTTCTATACACAACCAACTCTCGTCTGTTTCACATTCATGTACATTTCAAATTCACTGACAAAACCCTCTCTTGAAAAGAAATAAATTAACTGTAATTAAGTTTCGGCATAAAAATTAGTAAGTAGAAAAAATACAACAAAGTCAAAGGAAAAAAAGCATTAATGAATAAAACACGCGAATTTTCCTAAAGTGAGATCTTGATGCTGGAAGATACCAACGACCACTTGTGGGTTGTAGGAATTACCCTAATAAAAAAACCGCCTTCGCTCTGCACTCCATACAAACGTGTACGTCAAGAGGGTATACACTATCAAGTGAGTCTGGAAAAAGGATCCTCGATGGCACTGAAAGATAACCGTGAATACGGTAGCCCTTGGGTCTATCTATATCGTTGTCATTCGTAACACTGCAGGGGTACTGAGACACATGACGTAAGTACTTCTTTTTTAAATAACAAAAAACTTTAGTTATTTTTTTCCTATTACAAAGTATAAATGAATAGAATGCGAATCTTTTATAAAAAAAAAACTGTCCTTAGATATATCATTTTTTAGAAGTAAATCATTTAGTCTGTAAATCGTAAGTACAAAAAATGAAACATTTTTAAATTCAGAAGTAAAAATATTTCGATCTAACTTGAGTTCTGATGAGTAAACTTGATACAAGGTATTGTTGTAAAACAATTACTTACGAGATCTTGAAATTCATTGTTGAACAGAAATATTTGTACTTCTATGATTCAATAAGTAAAGTGTACTTCTCATTTTTGCCAAATCCTTCAAATTTAACAAATATATAATGACTATTTCCTGAAAATACATCAGTGAAAATCATTGCAAAACGATGTATATTCACTGATGTACAGTCCTGGAACCATAACTGTTCTGAATAATGCTATTATTATCACTGCAAACAGTGAATATTCACTGATTCATGTTCAGAGAGCAGTAAATTGAAATCTTATTGAATTTCTTTGTCTAGATTGACCTCGTTAATTATCATATCAGTTTTAACGAATGATATGAGAAAGAAAGGAGCTACGAGAAAGAAAAAACGACACCAAGATAAACGAAAGGGAGAATGAACGAGATGGTAAAAGTAAAAGGCGTGGGTGGATTGTGATGATTTACGAGTTGCGGCGTCCAGGGCTCAAACCAGACTTCTTCAAGGTCTTGCTGATAGCGTCAGAGCCACATAAGTCATCGAGACTACCGTGGGGTATCCTAACTAACCCCTCTCGTACATTTTGTCTCTCTCTCGATCCCTCTTGACCCACCCTTCGACACTGCATCCTATTCTTAATCTTCTTTGGACCCCATTATCGACCGTCCGCCGTTCAATTATAACGCCGGCGATACATGGGGAATTATAATTGCTTTGCAAGCGCTTGCATACGTTCTCTCTCACTATTACATTAATTCCTATGTAATTCTAGTAAACTAGAATTATTGAGAAATGTTTTCACGTTAAATAAATCAAGAATAAAGAGATGAAAATTTCAACAAGTTTGATATCCAATATGTGCAATATGTATAATTTCATTTGATATTTACGTCCATCAGAACAATCTCTAATACATCACGCTCTTATTATCAGGATTATTAATACCATAATGATCACTGCGTGTATTATATGATTCTCGTACACGCCATATACGAGAATATGCGCACATCCCTGTAATTGCATAGCGCACTTAAATGAACTACGATCCTGTGAACACAGGACACCCCACTGCGTTCATATTCATGAGAAATATTAGAAATCCAAACTAAATTATGACATAGTGATACTATTTCAAATGTTGGAAAGCTGCTGGAAAAAAATGAACGTAATAGGAAAATGGAATTTAATTATAAAAAAAGAGAAGAAAAAGGAGAAAAAATGTATTCAGTCATTGAAAAAGGTAATTTGTGTTATACTAGAATTTGTAGAAATATTTTCACTGCTGCTGCTGCATATACTAATCATAATTAATCCAACTAATTTACTAACTGGCTGAATAAAAAAGTATCTCATTTAAATAATTGCTTTGACAAGTGCAAAACTTGTGCATCAATTCAATGTGAATGAAATTAACATTTTAAATTATTTTACAGTTGTAATTCTTTTATATGAAAAAATGAATCTCATTTGTTTCCGGTTGCAGGATGCTTTGGGGTCACGGTAAATGCGCAATCGCAAAATCAACGGTATTGTACTGGGCGTCATTGTCGTCGGCGTCTCTGTGTACACACTTAGTCTTTACATCATTCTCTACCCCTGAGACCTCTGCATGAATATTACATGCTTCGTTATCTACCGGAAAGATAATTGTCAAGAAGTACTAAGTATGGACTGGATAAATCAGTTATACAGGTGGACAAGAAACATGTAATATAAGGATGATAAAAGCAAGTAGACATATCCAGGAAGTGTAAACATTAATCTTCAAGATTTTTTTTTAGAATTAATTCATTTATTTAGACTTGATTTAATGATACCGTCAACAATTATAAATATTAATATTAATAGTGTCCTATATATTCATTGTGATTTGAAAAAAATAGTTAATAGGTCTCCATGACCGTTTTCTAAGATCAGACAGTTTAGCCTGGGAGGCACCGTCCCATTTCCCGGACATAAATCACCATGACGTGCGCGGTTGTTATGGCATTTCGAAGGTGGCCATTATCAACGACCCGACGCTATGTAATTAAGGTAGAATAGAGCGAAACAATCATCATCTTGATGAGAATTCGAAATTCAATTCAGTCTAGATTATCTATCTGAAAAACTTGATTTAAGATAAACATTTTTTGACCTTCAATATGGCCTAGGAGAATGCACATCTTGGATATTTATTTCAAAATTTCTTAATATTTGGTTGAATATGAAATTGTAACATTTTGTGAGTTCGTAGAATTGTGAAACAAACTTCAAGGCAACCCCTCACTTCTATATGACAGATGGATGTCGGGGTTGGCCCGTGCGGGGAGAACCGCTAATTTGGTCGGACAACCACAAAACCACAAGAATAATAACACCCCCCTTTTTAACTCTCGCTCTATTTCTCTTTTGCTACTCTCTCACATTAAAATTCGCCAATAACAATCCTTAAGCCGACCCTGTGATTACTCGTGGATAAATCTCGACGCGGTAGCCACAGTCCTGCCCTCGTCCAACCCATCCTAGACGTTTTCTAGACTCTTCTTTATCCTTGCAATTTAGTTCAGGCACGGGGTAAGAACCCAGACGACAGCCAGACAATTTACCTGAAGACACCTGGCAGCCACATTTTTTAATTTCCTTTTAGTAAAATGCTAATAAAATTTTTTTTACTACTTCCTATTATTTAAAAAAAAAAAATCGATAAATAATTCAGTAGAAAGTGAATTACTTTTCGTTTTATCCATTAATTAAAAAAATAGTTATCTTAACTTGAAGTTTATTGAAGTAATATTATCAATAAATTTATTAATTTCCAATAAAACTGTTCTAAATTTAATTTAGGCAATAAACTTTCTATTTAGTAGTAATTATTGCCATAAAATGTCATGAAAGTTTGCTGATTCATTATAGTTAAATGAAATCTGAAAGATTCAATTGACTTGACTTCTCTTTTAAATATTGATGATTATTTTGACAAGCAATAATAGACTACAATAAAAAGTTTTATTTTCCAGAGCAAATATAT